AGTGAAGTGGGGGGGGGGGGGGGGGGGTATACCCTTAGTATTTGAGCTTCATAACAAAGCTTTTCCTGTGTATGCAACTCTATGGCATTCTCAAGTCGAGATATATCAAGCTCCAGCTGTGGAGAAGGTGCCTGCCCTTGCATGCTTTTTAGAGTGGCGAGTGTATCTTCACGTCTTGAAATATCCTAATAGGATATTTAGAAATATAAAAAAGTTGTGCCATCAATTAGTTTATACATTTAAGAGAGAGAGAGAGAGAGAGAGAGAGAGAGAAACTACAAGAAAGTGATTGTTCAAGTCAAAAAATTAGTGTTAGAAAAAAACAGTCCCATACACCTCCATTTATGTAGACCACTAGCTAGGCACCTAAAACCATAAAAGCCAGCTCATAGGTCATGCATGCATTACCTGGACAAGATGTTTGAAGTCGGAGAATGCTTTTAACAAGCCCAAGTTGAGAACCCTTGCGGTCATAAAGAAGCATTCACAAATAAATGTGTATTTATTTGTTTGTTTTGCATTTCGGGGAGAAGGTCTAGACATATTGCTGCTTGAGCTGGTTGCTTCTTGAGACTGTAGCAAGCGATTTTCATTTTCACCACTTTGTCCAGAGGAACCAGGTTTGAAAGGGCTGCCTTTCTCGATCCACTCGGAAACTTCTTCTGATGATGCTTGTAGAGCAGTCAACCCTCTAATATGGGTTCATAAGAATAGCTATCAGGAAGATATCAAAATTGGCAGTGTAGGAGGTAAAATTAACTAAATAAGGAGTACTCACTTTAAATCCAAACGGTTACTATAGAACACATATTTTGGATCAATTTTATCCTTTTTTGTTAAATTTGCATCTAAAAACGGCTCACAGAGTTGAAGCATTACTGCACTGAGGTTGACAAACATGCCTGAACTAGCACAGGATAAAGGATCAACCTGCCATATATACCATGCATGATGACGTCAAAGAGTGTTGATATAATGAAAAAATACAACTGTTTGCTATGATTGAGAATATAAAAAAGTGAAATTCATTGTACCATCAAAAATTCAGTGAGAAGAGGTAAAGAAACAAATAAGAACTTGTAAATTAGTTATGATTCAGTTCATGTTTGTTAAAAACACCCAGATTTGTTGAATGGAGAGAGGATGGCAGAATAACCTGCAGATGGGCCCTTGATGAATTTTTATTGATAACCTCTGAAAGGTATTCAAGAACATTCTCACGAGTATCAGTGTTTTTAAGAAGAGAAAGAAGTACTTCTCCAAGACCGTCATATAAATTATTCATGACAGTTTTGATTGTGGTGAATGATGATAACAAATCAGCAGGACGACGAGTGGATGCCTCAGAGAAACATTGCTGCCTGTTATATTCATCAAAGAAAGAATGTATCAGCAGCAGTTGGACAATTCACCTTTATTACACCTAAGCCACTGTTGCAAAGTCGACTTTAATTAAATGGAAAGGCTTCTGAGTGAAAGTATGATTCTCAATGCTGTCAATAGCAGTCCCCCTTTCTTAAATTCACTTCATTTCTTTCTAGAATGCTAGAGAAAATCTGTCTCAAGATTTTGTATTTTACTCGTTTTATTGGATGTTTTTTTTTATAACTAAACTCCCATTCTATATCTAAATTGGAAAAAAAATTCAGTGTTAGGAGGGTTTCATTTGAAAGTTCCCGACTGATTCAAACCAGCTCACTCCACTATGTGGACTTAACTTCAGAGGAAACAAGAGAGGGAAAAACTGTGCATTCAACATAAGGTAGAAAACTATGGAATAAGTTCATTCAATCCTTGAAGACTTTACAAAGTAATTTATTACTTCCATTCTGTCTTAATACAAATAAATGCCCAAACTCTCTAAACCTGAACTAACCAGCTAGACTGTTCACGATTCATCACATAACTTAAGTGGAATTTCTATTGCAGTTCACAAAATGCAATTATCAAATCAAATTTTGGTTATCTTACCGCAGAAAGAAAATGAAAATAGACGAGAAAGAACACCAAATAATACTCACCCAACGTCAGGCTGGCTCTTGAAGATGGGATCATCAGGCAGGGCACTCACATGAAAGAAAGGGCCCAATATGCTGGTCATCTCTATGACACGCCCATTCAAATATGCTCCTTTAGGAATCCACCAAGGATGATTCACCAGAGACTTAGCCCCAACAGGAAAACTCACCAAATACAGCAACGCCCTTAACGGCTGCTGGAAATTCCCAAGCGCCGAGATCTTCAACACACTGCCTCTCAAGTCCTCATACAATCCCTTCAGTATTGGGTCCAAGGTCTCTAAATCCGAATCCCTAAAAAACTCGTCCAAAAACCCAGGAGGACACTGTACCCCTCCACTGCTGCTACTCCCACCGAATTCAAAAACCCCAGAACCTACCTCGGAGAAGATCAATGATAGCAGCGGCGAGGAAGTATTAGATTTCCTATCTAAACCAAAAGCATTATTCGAATTCCCGAAGAGGTCAGGATTGCCCAGGAGAATCCTGCAATAAGACACCGCCAATTTCTTAGCTTGCTTAACGACGGATTCCATCTCGGAGCGGACAGTCTTGTCTTTCATGGAGGCAATTTTCTTCGCCTCCTCGTGCGCGCGTCGGTAACAGCCAACGAGGTACTGGAATAGAGGCTCCCCCGAGGAGAAGTCACCGGAGAGCCTATCGATAAGCACTCGCTCCATTAAGTCGCGAGAGAGCCTGAGGTCCTTACCTTCGCTGAGAATTTCGGCGGCGATCATCTGAAGGTAGATGATGCGAGAATCCGTTTCCCCGGATTCTTTTAAGGTTACGAGGAAGATCTTCCGCAGAATTATGTCCTCGATTTCTTCCGGCGATCTCTGAGGTCTTTGCGTCGCCATGGCAGCTTAAAACAATCAAAGAATAAAATAAAATTGGGTTTTAAATATATGTAAATAACGAAATTTTTCAGCGAAAAAATAGAAAGATTTGAGATTGAAGAAGAAATTATGGTTTATAGGGTATCTGAGAAGACATTGAAGAGAGCATGAAGACGAGGCAGTACAAAGGTAGGTGCTTTCAGTGCTGTGTTGGGCAGAGAGTCGAAGACAACAGGAACTCCGACTAAAACTTCAACATGAAAGTATTATAGACTCTTTAACGGCGTCGTTTTTCCAGATTTTCAGGGAAGTCAAAATCATCGAATCATAACGGCGTCGTTTTTGGATCTTACCACGTGGAAAAGGCATCAAAAAGACGTAATCCATATTTATAATTGAATTAGTTGTTTTATTTTTTTTTTAATTTTTTTATAGCAAAGTATTATATATTTCCATAATATTTTCAATTATTTCTGATATAGGTTATTTTATTTTTAAATTTAACACTTTATTTTTTATTTTAGTGTTTTAGAGTCTATTATTTTTACTTTTTATATTAGTTCGAGTACTAAAATTTAAAAATTATTTTTAACTGGTCAATTATTTAATGTGTAAATGTTGTTATATTTATAATAAAAATATATTACTAACTAATTATATTATTTTTAGAGGTGAGATTTGTGATTTAACCCTAAAATGTTAATGAATAAATAATTTTGGTAATAAATAATTAAAAACTTATGTAAATTGGTTGCTGTTTGGTTTGCTTGCAATGGATTTAGATTTAGACAATGATTGTACATCAATTGCTCTTTTGTTACCGGTTTGATATTGTTACTTACGGTATGTTTGGTTTTATTTAATAATCTTGTAATATAATTTATTTATTTATTACAATAATTAAATTGTAGTTTTATTTTGTATTATAAGATAATTGTTTATTGTGTTATGATATTTAATTATAATATATATATATATATATCAATAAATGTTTGTTAATAAATTTTTATCGAATTCATAATTTAATTCGAATTCGTTTCACAAAATTCAATTTAAAAAAAAAATGAGATTTCGGACTTGTAGTTGGATCTTCATTCAGCAACTATACTTAGTGTTGATGGGAGCATCAAGGAATTCTCTTTTCAATAGATTCTCAAAGAGTGGCATTGAACAAAATAGTGAAAATAATGCTCTATTGTATCTATAGTTATTTATGAGACTGAATACATCTTTGATGCATTGACTACCAAATTTACAAAATTGAGGTGTATAAATTGTGTGTATATTCAGTAATCTATACACAAAATTTTGTTCTCCCCTGCCATCCATGGAAAAAGAAAAAGAGAAAAAAGTAGACGGCAACACTAAAGAGGTTTATCACCATTTTCTGAGAAAAAATTACAGGCTGAAGTGTGTGTATACATGTACCAGAAGAGGTAGCTTATGATTTCCTTCAAATAAAGACTTATATTTGTCAGGATGAATTCTCTGTTATTTCATCATCAGATGATGAAAACATGGCGCATTTTGTGTTAGCAGGACCAAATAGAAGTTCCAGGCAGAAAGCCGGGCCGCAGATTGATCTCCCTTTGCTCCCAACTTTATCCAAATCCCGGGAAGAAAACTGAAAATTTTCATTCATCTACTACTAAGAGATGGAAATATGATTTGTACTTTTAATCTCTTTGAGTTGTATCTACACTTTGATAGTAGAAATTCGATTCGTAAAAGTGGGAATTGAGTTTCATTCATCCATTATTAGGAGATGAAAACATGATTTATACGTCTAATCTCTCTATGGTTGCTATCTTGAATTCTTTGATGGTAGAAATTCAATTTATATGACTTAAAAGTGGAAGTTGGATTCTAAAAGTTATAGAAGATTACAGAAGTACCTGTAGCAAACCATTCTTAATGAATGATGTATTGAAGCAGGCGTAAAAAAGGCGGCCTCCAATCAGTTTTTGGTAGAATATGATACGTACATCTCCGCTGACCTGTTTAGACAACTAGAATCTTTATAAAACTTTTCAGGCCAGGAATTGAAATATGAAAAATGGATTGATTGTGGATGGATCTGCATAGAGGATAAACATGAATATATTGTGGTATTAGTAATAACTTACCTGCACAGGTTTCTCAAAATAATAGTCAAGGCAAGTTTTCTGATAGATCATGTAACTCTCTGTGTCCATTTGAACGACAACATGAGGTTCTTCTTCATGTAATTTCTCTCCTTCATCGCCATCTATGAAAGAGAGGTAGTACTGAGGACTGTTTGTTCTCTGATGCCCCTTCTTCATTTCTCTGCAACAGCCCTTGAAAACTTCTACAGGTGGTTGGTACAGTTGATTAGGGACCTTTAAAACATGTTACAATTTTCTTGATTATTATTTATAAAGGCTTACATTGCTCAAAAACATCATATGGAAAATTTTCCGGAAAACAAAAATTGCAAAAGAAAATCATGTGTGCACAGGATTTTAGGAGTCAAGATCCTGACATTTTGCCACTAAGTTTTTCACAAGCAATCAGATATTAATGTATAATTTAATGAATAATCATTGTCTAAGAGTTACTTAGATGAGAATGTTAGGACAAAATAGTTCCTTGCCCACAGATTTATCAAAGAAGGAATAAAATTAATAATTTTATGTAACTGCCTATATCTATGTGTGTTAGTGTCAGTGTTACTGAGTAATCATCATGTAAACATGTTAAAATAAGTGTTAAGTGTGTATTAGAGTATGAAAATAAATATGTTTTTCAGACAAGGGCAGTTTAGGTAATTCTGGAAATTCTACTTCCAGAATTAACTGTTCCTCTTTCTACATATCTACTGCTATGGGGAAAAAACACAATTATGTCCGGAATGTGATGTTAATGAATAATTTGATTCTCTTCTAGAGATTGTAGGGTTCTCTCTATTTAACGAGTTCTAATTATTTTCCTTGAATTCTATAAATAGGTGAAGGAAGAAAAAAAACAAAGGAAGGAGATGTCACCTACTGATTTTGTTGTCAATTATCCCATAACACAATCCATCAGTAGGTGAAAACAGAAATGATATTTGTAACTTTTCTATTATTACATAAGTTTACACCTCTTCCCCATTTTATGGTATAAGAGTCTACCAAAAAGGGAACAAATATACACCTAATTAATTAGTGAAATCAATCACTGAATTTCTGCTATTAAATATCAATCACAATCCTCTAGCATCCAGGATTTCCATGACAGATTTTCTACCATTAAATATCAATCATAATCCCTGAGTGAATGAGATTTCTACACTCCTCAAGTTGGATTATAGATATTGATCATGTTTAACTTGTGAAGAAAACTGTCAAAACTTTTTCGAGGAAGACCTTGGTGAGGATGTCTGTAATTTACTCTTTGGTAAGCACATATGTCATGCGGATAATACCTTCTTCTACATATTCTTTAATGAAATATTGATCCACTTCCACATGTTTGGTCCTATTATGTTGTATAAGAATGAGTGATATACTGATGTCGACTTTGTTGTCACAGTAGAGTTTTACAGTTTGGCTTCTACTTGTAACTCATCCAAAAGTTTTTTCAACCATAGTCCTTTACAAATTCCCTATGCCACTATTCTAAATTCCACTTCAACACTACTTATGGCCATCACGTTTTGATTCTTGCTCCTCCATGTGATCAAGTTCTCCAAGACAAACGTGCAATATCTGGTAGTAAACCTTTTATTTTTTATTGAATCTGCCTAATCCACATCTGGAAACACTTCTATTCCCCTAGTTTAATTCTTTTTGAAGAACAAACCCTTTCTTGGAGAGCTTTTGAGATCCCAGAGAATCTTGTAGACATTATCTAAATAAGTTTCTGATGATCTGTGCATGTGCGACTTACTAAAGTAACTGAAAAGGAAATATTTGGTCGAGTCTGTGATAAATAGATTTATTTGCCAACTAATATCTAATATTTTCATATTTCAACTGGTTTTCCACCTTCTTCCCTATCTCAATTTGTGTATCGCTCGATTTGCATCCGAGCATACCGGTTTCAATCAAGAGGTCGTGGACATATTTTCGTTGAGAATGCTTATCCTTCTTTTCGATTTGACAACTTCTATCCCCAAAAAATATCATATTGGTTCTAGGTTCTTGATTTCTAATTTAATGACCAAAATTTTCTTCAATTTGTCCATTTCTTATGTATCATTACCTATCAAAGTTTTATCATCTACATAAAGGGTTAAAATTCTTTTTCTTCAACTTTTGGACTGTCAGAAGAAAATAGTAGGATCAAATTGCCCTCATCGGTATCCTTGTCAAATATATCAAACATGTTTTTGGTGACTGTTTGATCTCGTATAGATATATATATTTTTTTAAATTACAGATAAGATCTTTTTTTGTATTAAACCCAAGTGGCATTGTCATGTACACCTCTTCTTCTAAGTTGTTATTAAGAAATGTATTCTTAATATCCAACTGCTGAAGTGGCCAATTAGATTAATTACGAAAGATCGAAGAACTCGAATTGAGTTCAGTTTTGCCACTAGCGCCAATGTTTCTATAAAATCAACTTCATAAGCTTGAGTGAATCTATTACAATTAGTCAAAGTTTATATCATTCAATAGTCTCATTAGCTTTTTATTTCAGTGTAAACGCCCATTTGCAGCCAATAGACTTTTTACCTTTAGGTAATTTGTTATTTCCCAGGTTGCATTCTTTCCGCCGCTTGCATCTCTTCCATGACTACCTCTCTCCATTCACGAATCTGCAGTGCTTCCTGTATATCTTTTAAAACCCTTGTCTTATGAAGATTAACGATAAATGTATGATATCTTGTAGACAAAAGATCATGGGACATGTATTTTGAGTAAGAATAAAAAGTACATGACCGAGTTAGTTTTTTAAGGGCAATAGGAAGACTCAAATAAGCAGGTACATCAGGTGCCAAATGCTTACTTATAACAGCAGACTCATTAGTTAATAAAGGATTACTTAAACCGGCAGATTCATCAGGCGATAAAGGATTATTTGCCGCTTATTCTGGATCAGATAACTCATGATTTGGAGCTATCATTGGTTCCGCTTCTTTTAATGTTTCGAGTATAAAATGCTCATTGTACTTTAACTGCCACCTCTGTTAGTAAACGAAGATCTCTTCTCTATTTTGTTGTTCTAAATTTTCCTCTGAGTTTAAATTTCCTAATATACATGGCATATGATGAATGGGTAAGTTGGTCAAAGAACATAGTAAGAAAACACCAATCTTCATTCCATGTCTCCCTCTGAAGATTGGTATCTCAGAAGTAATGAGTGTTTTCAAAGAACGTGACGTTAAGGCTGACAAACATTCGACATGTAGATGGATTGTCCTTTTGTTGTAGGTGAGTATCCAAAGAAGAAACTTTTATGGGCTTTTGAATCCTTATCATGATGGGAAGAATGATCATGAACAAGCAGTGCAATCAAACACTTTGAGAGGAGGACTTGTGCCAAGATGGGAGGTAGGAAAAAATGAATGAAATTTTTGGAGAAGAGTTTCAAATGAGAGAACACAACTAAGCATTCGATTAATAAGATGTTAGAGGTTAAAATGACATCCCCTAAATTGTTTTTGGTATATTAATAGTGATCATTAGGACAAGAGCAACCCCCACTAGGTGCCTATTTTTTCATTTGGCAACTCCATTTTGTTATGGGGTATTGACACATGAACTTGATGAATAATTTCATTTTTTTCGAAGATAGTCTCCCAAAGTGGAGTTGAAATGTTCACAGCAATTCTGCATCAAAACCAATCATTACAATCTCAAGTTTTCATTAGAGAAACCTGATCTTCAATCTCCACAGCAACATTGTATTATTAATTTGGGATTTGACTTTGTTGTTGAGTACAGGACAAGAAAGGAGAATGTGGTGGTGGATGCGCTTTCAAGGCTATATAACGTCACTCCTATCTGTCATGCTATCTCCGTTCTATCTCTTGATTACTTTGATAATATCCACCAGGAGGTCAAGAATTCAGTATCTCTATAGGCTCTGTTCATAAAATTCTACAAGTAGAATTGAATGATAACTGGCCAATTCGAGATGGATTGATTTTTATAAATTTAACGCTTTCCTTCCATCTGAGTCTCCTCTGTGTCCTTTACTTTTGGATGTAGTTCATAATCAGTTCCATGAAGGCCATCAGAAAGTAATTCGATGGCTTTCCATGGACTTCTTTTGGAAGGTATGAAATCAAGTTAGAGATTTTGTCCATTCTTGTTTGGTGTGTCAGCGGAATAAGGTGGAATATTTACATCTTACTGTATTGTTACAGCCATTTCCAGTTCCTTCTCAAGTTTGGCCAGATATTTCTCTGGACTTTGTGGTAGGTCTTCTCACTTCCTGAGGTAAAAATA